GGCTGGGCATGCTAGCTCATGCCTGTAATCCCAGTACTTTGGGAGGCAGAGGCAAGAGGATTGCCTGAGTTCAGGGGTTCAAGACCAACCTGGGCAACTGGGTGAGAACTCATCTCTACGATAAATCAAAAAATTAGCCAGGTGTGGTCACACACGCCTGTGGTTCCAACTACTTGGAAGGCTGAGGCAGAAGGATCACCTGAACCCAACAGGTCGAGACCATGGTGGTCATGAGCATGCCACTGCACTCTTGCGTAGGTGACAGTGAGACTGTGACTCAAAAAAAAAAAAAAAAAATATACAGGTGAAGCTTCACTTGCTGGCCTGCCACTCACCTACTGCTGTGTGGCCCGATTCTGACTTCTGCTGCTATCTACCTTTTACTGAGGCTCACCTGTTGCTAACATGTGGCCTCATATTCTCTCTCTGTCTCCCTTTCTCTCTCTGTTTCTCTCTCTCCCTCCCTCCTCTCCTCTCCTCTCCTTTCCCTGTCTAGATATATAGTAGGTGGGTAGATGGATGGAGGAGAGAGCAGCATGGGCGGCTGTCAATGCAGATGAAGCTTCCCTCACTCACCTACTGCTCACCTCCTGCTGCATGGCCCGGTTCCTAACAGGCCACGGACTGGTCTGTAGCCCGGGGATTGAGAACCTCTGCTCTAGGGGACTAGTCTTGGGCTGTACTTACTTAGTGAGTACCCTGTCGTCAGGGTATGTATTAGGTGTGTTAGACTGGCCTGGCCTGGAAATGGGGCCAGGGGGGTCTGAAAGTCATGGAGAAACTAAAACTTCCCAGACAGGGCTCTCCATCCCTGAGGAGAGCCTCCAGACACCCCACCCTCCAGCTGTCCCTGATCCTGGTCACCTCCTCATCAGGCAAAGTCACAGCAATCCTTGCTGTAAGTCATTTAGTGATGATCTTCTTCCAGTATTAAAGAAAAAGAAAAGAAAAAGAAAAGAAAAAACAAGAAATATCCTTCCTAGGGCACACAAGGCCAAGGGCGTGTTGTGTGTGTGTGTGCATGCACGCATTCATATACACACAGCATTGAGTTAGTTCCCAGCATTGAAAAATAAAAGCATGCCATGCTGTCATTATTTTTAATAAAAACACACCCACCTTCGCCCTCCCCCTCCCCCAAAACAGAAAGCCTCTGGATCTGTGACTTCTCCTAGGAAGCCAGCACACATAAGATAAAATTCCTAATGGTCAAGTTAGGAGGGAAGAGACACACTGTGTGACCTCCCCAAGGTTCCGGAAGCAGCCAAACAGTTAGAGGGCAGGTGGTGCATTCCAGAAAGAAAGGGCAAAGAGACATTTCCTCCTGGAGGCAAAAGACACTCCTCATACAAAAAACAGCAGCAGCCCAGTCTCTCCTAGAAGATGACGATGTAAGGACCCAGGAAAACGCCAGGCACCCAACTCCCCTGTTGTGGCCACTGAGCTAAGATGATGGTGGCCGGGGTGCTCTGCTTGCCACCCAGTCCTGCAGTTGGTTCAAATGCACCGGTTCCTCGGCCACTGGGGTGGGGAGGGGGACTTCTCTTATAGTAGCCCTTTCCGAGTGTTCCCAAGTTTGCCCCCTTTCCACAGGCTTCCCAAAAGGAAACGCGACCTAGAAAGTCAGACCCCAAAATCAGACCATCTCCAGCCCAGCGTGTGGCAATGCTTGCCTCCAGCAAGAGCTCTTTTTTTTTTTTTTGAGTCAGAGTCTCACTCTGTCGCCCAAGCTGGAGTGCAGTGGCACGATCATGGCCACTGTGCCTACATCTTACGCCTCAGTCTTCCAAGTAGCTGGAACTATAGGCATGCACCACCAAGTCAGGCTGATTTATTGATTTATTGTAGAGATGAGGTCTCGCCATGTTGCTCAGGCTGGTCTTGAACCTCTGGGCTCAAGCAATCTACTCACCTCTGCCTCCCAAAGGGCTGGGATGACAGGCATGAGCAAGAGTTATTTTTAAGGCATTTCTTCCACCACACACACTAATACTTCCTAAAACATTTAGTGATGTTGCCCAAACTGCAGCCCCTTGCAGACATGTTCGCATATTATTGTATCTGCACACCATCTGCACTATTGATTGCTTATTTAATACTTTTGAGAAGTTCATTTATTTTTAAAAGCAGTTTTAATAACTGGAAAGCCAGTATCATTTGCTATAAATAGAATGTGACCATAAAAATAGAAACAATACTGGAGAAACCCATGTTATTAATTTTCTTCTTGATTCTGCTGTCAGCTGTCCACGTTCCAAGTCTGAGGTCTTCTCGGGAATTTTTAGCAGGAATCTTGGCATCCAACTAAAACTTTTTCTTCCAATGTTCTCCAAACACAAGATGGAAATATAATTTAAAAATACTAATAAGCCAAGCTCAGTGGCTCAGCCTGTAATCCCGTGCCTTGGGAGGCTGAGGTGAGTGGATTGCCTGACCCGCAGGTTCGAGACCCGCCTGGGCAACTTGGTGAGACCTCATCTCTACAATAAATCAAAAAATTAGCCAGGTGTGGTAGTGCGCACCTGTAGTTCCAGCTACTTGGAAGGCTGAGGCAGAAGGACCGCCAGAGCCCAGCACGTCAAGGCTGCGGTGGCCGGGAGCGGCCACTGCACTCCAGTCTGGGCGACTGAGTGAGACTCCAACTAAAAAAAAAAAAATACTAATAAGCTGGTCATGGTGGTTCACGCCTGTAATCCCAGGGGTTCGAGACCAGCCTGGGCAACTTGGCGAGACCGCATCTCTACAATAAATAAAAAAGTTACCTGGGCATGATGGCGCGCACCTGTAGTTCTAGCTACTTGGAAGGCTGAGGCTAAAGCATCACCTGAGCCCAGTAGGCTGAGGCTGCAGTAGCTGTGAGAGTGCCACCACACTCCAGCCTGGGCGACACAGTGAAACTTCAATACACACACACAAAAAAGACAAGAAACAACAGAGATGTGTCACTAGCAGTTCTAAAAGCTAGACATCCAACTTCAAGGTGCCGGTAAGTTGAGTGTCTAGGGAGAACTCACTTCCTGGTTCACAGATGGAAATTTCTCACAGTGTCCTCACATGGCGGAAGGGGCAAGGTGGCTCTCAGAGCCTCTGTTAAAGGGACACTAACCTGCCCTCAGGACCAGATCACTTCCCTAAGGCCACACCTCAAATACCATCATGCTGTGGATTAGTTTCAACATAGGAATCTGTGGGGACACAAACCCCCAGACCACAGCATGACCCTGGGACAGAAACCATACGAAAAAAGGGAGGTGTCCCTGCCCATGGCATATCCCACCTGGCCAGAAACACTAGGAGTATGTGGTTTCCCAAACTGCTTGGAGTCGATATAAGTTCATTCTCAGGAGTGTAGACACCAGCTTCTCCAAAGCCAGAGCACTCAGACTGAGTGTGGGCTACACGTGTGTTTGAGCCACCTCTCTTGAGGGACCAGTGAATATCCTCGAGTCTGCAGAGAATGGGAGGCAGAGTCCTCTGGCATCCCCAGCAATAGCCACCACGGGCAGGTAAGAGCATCACCCACCCGAGTGTCTCTTGGGTTTACAGATACTTAGTTTCCACATAGCACGACTCCCGCATACAGGGCAACTGCCTGATCTGATGCTTGGTTGAGGACACAGCTCCGTGTTCGTGCGTCAAGCAATTCAAGGACGTTTCAAAGACAATCTGGGCCACACGTAGTGTTTGCTGTACACACTGACTAAGACTAATTTTCTCTTTATATGACTCCTTCCTATCTTCCTAAGAAGTTACTAATTAGCCTTTATAGCAATAAATGAGTTATAAACATTAATTGCAATGATTTTTATAATCAATTAAATTACAAAGATTAATTGCAGTAGTAATAATCTTTAACCTTGGTCTGGTGTTTTTTTGTTTTGTTTTGGTTTTGATTTTTGTTTTTGCCCAGGCTGGGTTGCAGTGGCATGATCATGGCTCACCACAGCCTCAGCCTCCTGGGCTCAGGTGATCCTTCTACCTCAGCCTCCCAAGTAGCTGGGACTACAGGCATGCACCAGTATGCCTGGCTAATCTTTTAATTTTTTTGTAGAGACAAGGTCTCACTATGTTGCCCAAACTGGTCTTAAACTCCTGGGCTCAAGTGATTCTGTCACCTCAGCCTCCCAAAGTGCTGAGATTATAGGTGTGAGCCACCATGCCCAGCCTGGTTTTCATTTTTAAAAAAGCAAATTGACTTACTTTAAAAGAAAAAAAAAATCCACTTGGTTGGAAGTGTAATATAAACTAATTTTAGGAAATACATAAAACATATAAAGAAAACAGAGATGAAGAAAATGTTTTTGTTTTTTTTTTGAGTTGGAGTCTCACTCTGTCACCCAGACTGGAGTGCAGTGGCTGCTCCCGGCCACTGCAGCCTTGACCTGCTGGGCTCCGGTGATCCTTCTGCCTCAGCCTAAGAAAATGTTTAAAGCATATCCACTCACCTCCGGACCCACGATTACCATGTAAACATTGGGCTCTTCTTGATGCCATTCTTGGGAAGAAAAAAAAGAGAAAAAAATGCTTAAAATTGTTTTAAGTCACAGATGCAAGCATGATTAAGTTTAATGTAAATTACTCCTTGTAATAAATTATTTCATATCTTTTGGCTTTCATTCATAATATTAATCCATTTAGATTATATTTATTTCAAGTTTATACACTGGACATCTTATGTTTTTAAGTAAAATATTTTTTTCGCACCAGCCACGTTGGCTCACTCCTGTAATCCCAGCACTTTGGAAGGCGGAGGCAAGAGGATTACCTGAGCTCAGGGATTCCAGATCAGTCAGGGCAACATGGCGAGACCTCGTCTCTACAATAAATCGGAAACATAGGCCTGGCATGGCGACGCATGCCTGTAGTTCCAGGTACTTGGAAGGCTGAGGTAGAAGGATCACCTGAGACTAGCAGATCGAGGTTGCGGTGGCCATGAGTATGCCAGTGCCCTCCAGCCTGGGTGACAGAGTGAGACTCTGACTCAAAATAAATAAATAAAATAAAATAAAATATCTTTTTCTACATGATGTTACACATTACCCAGATTTCTAATTTTTAGGTAATTAGGACTAATATATGGGCTTTAAAATATACAGACAGGCCACACGAGGTGACTCACGCCTATAATCCCAGCACTTGGGAGGCCAAGGTGAGAGGATTGCTTGAGCCCATGGATTTGAGCCAGCCTGGGCTACTTGGCAAGACCTTATCTCTACTATCAATCAAAAAACTAGCCAGGCATGGTGGCGCGTGCCTATAGTTCCAACTACTTGGAAGGCTTAGGCAGAAGGATCACCTGAGCCCAGTAGGTCAAGGCTGCAATGGCCATGAGTGTGCCACTGCACTCCAGCCTGGTGACAGAGTGAGACTCCAACTCAAAAAATAAATTAAAATAAATAAAATAAACAGACAAGTATATAAAGTTGTACAAAGACTAAAACTCCAAATGCATCATACAAATCGGCATGTGTGAAATATTTTCAGTTAAGACTGCTTTAGTCTTACAATCACCTGCTATTTTAATGATTTAATGACATAGGACAGTAGAAAGCTGAACTGAAATTCGTACCCTGAGCTATTGATTCCATAAATTATTTTTCTGGTTGTTTCCAAAGTAACAATCTACAAACAGTTCTGCTCATGTGCAAAGAATAAGGAAATTATTCTCTCAAAGTCCTAGAGAAATGCTGAGGTATATACCCAAATGGAATTCAATAAACAAAGGATGGACTGGGTGTGGTGGCTCACACTGATAATCCCAGCAGTTTGGGAGGTCAAGGCAGGATGACTGCTTAAGCCCAAGATTTCGAGACCAGCTTGGGCAACATAGCAAGATTTCATCTCTATTAAAAAAAAAAAAAAATAGAAGAATAAAAAGGAAAAATAAACAAAGGAAGAAGGAAACTCTAGAAAACAGATCTGAGGCCAGGTGTGGTGACTCATGCCTATAATCCCAGTACTTTGGAAGACTGAGGCAGAAGGCCGCGTTTGAGGCTAGGAGTTTGAGACCAGCCTAGGCAACATAACAAGACCTCACCTCTACAAAAAAGAAAAAAAAAGGAAAAAGAAACACAGAAGATGGGTAATTCTAGAAAACATAACTGTGGCCAGGTGTGGTGGTTCATGCCTGTAATCCCAGCCCTTTGGGAGGCCAAGGCAGGAGGCCCTGCTTGAGACCAGACGTTTGAAACTAGCCTGGGAAACATAGCAAGACTCCATCTCCACTTAAAATTTAAAAAATAAACAAATAAGCAGAAACATACCTGAAAACGCATCCACCAGATAGAGAGGATCTTTAACTTGCCGCAATCCGCAAATCAGAAGAAACACGTGTAAGTTGTCGGCACTTTGGCTGATCTCTGCAACAGAAGAGTCCAGGACATGCTCAGTGGAGAGGCCCATACTTGATGCTGTAGCAGCTTGAAATAAAGGTCTCTGTCTTCCGGGCCTGCTGTTCAATTCCTGCCATTACATGCACCTCCTTGCTGTCAACGAATTCCTTCCCATGGGAAATGGGGACCGATTCATTCTCACTGCAACAGGGCCAGAGGCCCGGAAAATATTGACACCCAATTCTGCTTAGGAAGAATCTTTTTTTTCTTTTTTTGAGTCAGGGTCTCGCTCTGTCACCCAGGCCAGAGAGCAGTGGCACCATCATAGTCCCCAGACTCCTCCTCCTGGACTGAGGCGATCCCCCCACCTCAGCCTCCCAAGTCTTTGGGACTACAGGATTGTACCACCAGATCCAGCAAATTTTTTTTTTCTTATTTTTTGGTAGAGACAGGATTCACTATGTTGCCCAGGCTGATCTCGAATTCCTGGCCTCAGGAAAATTCTTGCCTCAGCCCCTCCCAAAGTGTTAGGATTGCAGACCACTACACCCAGCAAGAATATATTCTTGATGAAACTAGAACAATGGCTTATATATAATATACTCTTGAATTCACACATGCATAGATAGGCACAGATATCTAAACGAACACATGCTTCAGGTACACAAAAGAAAATGTACACGTATGTAATCATTGGGTTGTACACCTTATATGTATGTAATTTTTATTTGTCAATTATGCCTCAATAAAGCTGGGAAAAAACTAAAAATAAAATACAAGAGTGTGTTTTTAAATGAAAAGGAAGAAAAAAGTACTGGTTTGCTAGACTGGAAGCTGTCATGTGAGGAACTTGGGTGGACGGCCATGGTCTTTGCAGCCCTCCCCTGAGAAGTAGAACGGATCTCTGAGACTGTGGGCTGGCCTGGGCCTTTGCTGGCCACCAGGGACAATGGCAGTGGCAGGGTGTGACTTCCAAGCTGTAGCTGTAGGAGGCCTTGGGGCATTCGTTCACGCTTACTGGCTGCCATACTCATGCTGGGGCCTTGTGACCAGGCCCAGCTGCCTCCTGGAGAATAAGACTGTGGAGGAGACCTGGCCATCCTGGCTGCGTGAGACCCAGCCCCGGGGAGAGGCCAGTATGACCCAGCAGATCCAGCAGACACACACAAAGTCGATGGAGCCGCCCAGTTGAGCCTCTTCCAAAATGCCCAACCACAAAAACAGGTATGAAACCTGTGCATCCTCCAAGGAGGTGGTTAACCTCCACAGGTAATGGATTCAACAGAAATTATTAATATATCTCACACAAGGTGACCCAAAACTTCCACATTTACAACCTGTGTAATTGACCATAAAATCACACAGATTACAGGTTTTCTTTGCCAGGATGGGCATTCTTCCATTATTTAATGCAAACATTTTCATTTTCTCCATGCCTTTCTAAGTCTTAAACAGAAATATAACTAGTCTGAATGTGATAAGGTACAGTGACACCACTTAACACCATCACAGAAGCTTTAAATGAATTAATACCCAGCTAACTCTGGAGAAAGTCTGTACTGAAATAGCAAGACTGAGATGTCTCTCTTAGAAAAGCCTTGAAAAATCATCACAGCCTCTAAATAAACTGGGGATGATCTGCATTGAGATATACTGGGTTCTTTCCTTTTAATGTCCTTAATAGTCTGAGTATCCTGACACTAACCTTAGAAATACAAACCCACTCCTCCAGCCTGGGCAACAAGAGTGAGACTCTAACTCAAAAAAAAAAAAAAAAAAAAAAAGTACAAACCTTAGTGAGTACTTATTTGACCAAAAGTCTAAGCTAGAAGTCACATGCAGAATATGAATCTGAGGTCAAGAGTCAAGTTATTCTCACGTTGAAGAAATCCTTTAAGGACTGGAAGGTCAAGTATGAGACAGTCCAATCTGACATTACTATGCAAAAGCTGCTAATAAGTGCTAAAACTGGTGAGTGAAAGTTTGATGAGAACGGAGATTAAAAGTACCTTCTCAAAATTACTTATTAATTACAAAGAAAATATGATACCTGGATAGTACATGGGGAAACCAGGGGGATAGCACCTTAACTAAGGGAGGAAATCTTACACTAGCATGCAGGGCCTGTGTGGTTTTTTTTTTTTTTTTAAAAGATGTGGGGTACAATTCAGGTTAGGTATACAAATTGTCATTGTACAGGTAAAGTTTGGGCCTCACTTTGGGACTTTGGTCCTCACTTGGTCTGTGTGTTTTTACACACACACACAGTTCCTATATTCAGGGGGGGAAAAAACCACCCATATTGGGATAAGCTGGTGCTGTCTGCCTCCAGATGTGCTACACTGAGAAGGATATGACATCACTCACACCATATTCTCTTTTTTCTTTAAAGACAGGGTCTTGCTCTATTGTCCAGGCTAGACTGTAGTGACCCAGGCATAGTTCACTGCAGCCTCCAACTTCTGGGCTGAAGCAATCCTCCTGCCTCAGCCTCCCAAGTAGCTGGGACTACAGGTGCATGCAACCACACCCAGCTAATTTTTTAATTTTTTTGTAAGATAGGGTATTGCTATGTTTGCTCAGGTTTACGTCACAGTCTTGCCATGCATGGAATATGCATTCAAATATATAGGAAGAAGAAGGAAAGAAGAAAAGTAAGAGAAGAACACAGATATGCCAAAAAGAGGGAGAAAGTGGAAAATCAGTATCACTGAGCTAAAAAAAAAAAGTAAAAACAAAACATAAACAACATACAAAGATCACATATAGAGATAGCATTCAAAGACAGCACTTGGCCAGGCATGGTGGCTCATGCCTGTAAATCCCAGCACTTGGGGAGGCCAAGGTGGGTGGATTGCTTGAGTCCAAGAGTTCGAGTATAGCCTGGGCAACATAGCAAGACCTCGCTGCTACAAAAAAAAAAAAAAAAGACAACAGCACTCCTTGAAAAACCTGTGTGATGTCCAGGTAAAAAAGGACTCCATTTACCAGCTGCAGTGGCTCACACCCATCATCTCAGCACTTTGGGAGGTTGAAACGAGAGGACTGCCTGAGCCCAGGGGTTCAAGACCAGCCAGGGCAACTTGACGAGACCTCATCTCTAAAGAAAAGAAAAAACAAGACTCCATTTAATTCTTTATTTTTGCTATATGACAAGTACAGGGGTTGGAAGCGTGTTGGGTTGCTTTTCCCTGACACATGTCAGCTACTCGGAGCAACAGGCTCTGAAGGCCTGCTGGCATTCTGGTCAGGAAAGGTTAGAAAAAGTGGCCCTTCACTCAATCCATCCTGAGATCCTTTGAAAAACCAATGATCATTCATAATGTATGAGACTGATTTTCAAAGCATTTTGACTATGACTTGCAATAAAATAGACATATTATTAATATGTTGCCACTCAGTCACATAAGATAGAAAACATGCACACAAAAGGTTTGCACACGATCACAAGCACAACTTGAGCCTTCTTGCATGCAAGGCATGTGGATGTTTTCCATTCCATTTCAATTTTTTAAAACGCTGGTCCTTAAGTTACTAAATCAGTCATGAGACCCCTGACCTGCCTGACCCTGCAGGGAGACTGAGTTAATCTTATATGCCCTGCCTCTTTCCTCGTCTTTTTTCTGGGCTGGAGATCAAATGCGACGAGAATTTAGAAAACTAAATTAGAGTGTGACCAGAGAAAGGTCTGTTTGCCTTGTCTCATTCTAGGGTATTTAGAAAGTAAACTGCAGAGACGACATTTGGATTCGAGTCGCTATGGGCACTTCCCACCTACAGAAATATCATTTTCAGAAAAATAAAGAGAACAGTTGAAAAATCCTGCTCAATTGCTCAGGCTATCACACGCAAGCATTAGCTCTGATGAACTGCATTTCAGCGCACTGAAAGCCCTGACAGCTAGCTCTAAGAAAATGGATTGTGTGCGTCCTTAGATTTTAAAAAAGAACTAAAACCGACTGGCCTGCTGGTGCAGGGTTGAGGCCAGTACCTAACTAATTTTCAGTGAATTTTGTTACATCCTTTTGACTCAGAACATAGTTTTGTTATCTTTGCTTTCCTCTAATATCCAGATGACACATGAGTCAAGGTAGGAACTTGTCGCCCACAAGTGCATATTTCCACGGCTTTCCAACAGCACCATTTCCTGGAGAACCATATTTTTATCTTCAAAACAAAATGTATCATTTTCACAGTCTGTCATGCTTGTGCCAACAGACCCCACACCATGCTGCCTTGTCCTCCCAGTACAAGTCACCAGAAGGCTCAGAAACAGAAGTCCCGTCCACACTGACTCCCCTCCTGTTGCCGGCGGGCTCGGGGACAGAAGCTCTGTCCACATGGAGCCCTCTCCTGTCATCAGCAGGCTCTGGGACAGAAACTCCATCCACACCGAGCCCCCTTCCTCTGCACAGCTCCACTTCATGTGTCAGCATAAAGAGAAAAGAACTCAAGAACCTCAGGCGAGAACATGTGCCTTCGTAAACTTTAGCTGGAAAACCTGATTTGGGGGCTGTGTGAGAACAGAGGCATCTGTTATAGTAGTGCTGATTTTCCATAGGGAAACAAGTGAGTTTTCCTAGGAGTAGCCTGAGGAAGAGAAACGGTAAACTCTGAGTTAGAGAAACAAGAGTTGCCATGTTGGGAGTTCAAACAGAGGGGACAGAGAGCTAGAGCTAAATTATGTGTACAGATGGCAGGGGGAGACAAAGAGAGAGGAGAGAGGAAGGGGGGGAGAGAATGAGAGAGAAAGAAAAGGAGAGGGAGAGGAGAGAGAGAGAGAGAGAGAGAGAGAGAGAGAGAGAGAGAAGGGGGAGGAGAGAGAGAAGCAATAGATACAGAAATATAGTTAAATGGGAAATAGAAAACCAGGAAGGAGTTATCCAGTCAAATTTAGGCTTGTACAAATTTTTCAGTTTGATGTGTTGGTCACTGACATGCAAAAGCAAAAACCACGGAATAAGCACTTATAACAACATCTACGACATATCTGGAAATGCACAGAAAAACTCAACAACCAGGTAACACTTGATGCCTACACACCTATTGTCTGATCAGAATAGCTATTGTAAATATCAGTAATGTCATTAGCTACACTTCACCTACTATACTCTTTGTTCTTAATTGATCTGTTTGAAGAGGGAATTCGGCTGTCATAAGATGGGTCAATGTTTCCAACTAAGGAGATTTAGTGACCTGTCAGTTAGGGCTTGGAGACAGGACTAAATAGTGTCAGAAAACCTGTGACGTCCAGGAGGAGGCGGACGCATCGTGAAATTGACATCAGACATGCAAGATGCCTGCAATGACCCTTGGTGCCTAATTACAGACTATTTATAAATATTTATAAATTACAGACTCTTTATGGGACCATTGGATGAGGCCCTTCCCCGCCCTCTGATGTCAAGGGTAGCGGTTCATGAGGATTCGGAGGGTGAGCATTTGATCATTAACGGTCTGTGTCAAGTTCACTCTATCTCCCGTGTCCACTGTCTGCAGCTCCCAGTGGAAGTGACAGATCACAGTCCTGGGTTACAAATGCTCCAGAGGCTGGGGGAAGATGGCATCAGGATGCTGAGGACAGTCCGTCCCCGGGGTCTGAAATACGACAAAGACAAACAGCTACACACATGAGAACAGACGTCCCATCAGAAAGCCAGATTAATCCTCCCTCTGCCCCCAAGTCACTATCTGCCACTGTCAGCCACCAGGGCCACCCATGGAGTCTTTCCTCATCGTATATTCTGAACACATGTACAGCTTCTAATTGCACGCATGAAGATGAAACGAGAGGCAGGGAGGCCTCTGGAGGAAACGCTTTCCAAGGCATGTTTAAAACCTCCTGGCGGCTCTGTTCATCACTCAGGAACAAGATCAACGAAACCATCAATGCGGAGATGGCAGAACTTAGAGACAAGCCGCCCTCCTTTTGGAAGTTATGAATCTCAGTGACGATATGATTGTGCCCTGTGCCATCCTGGAGATGGTCACCTTATAACAGGTGATTTTAGAGGGTACACTGACTCTGAAAACCAGCTCATGGTCATGGACATGACGGAGGAGTTGACGCACGTGGGTGCATTTGTAATGTCAGGAGCAGCCACGCTACTGTTGCAGAGATCGACGGATACACTAGGAAAAGTATTTCTTTTTTTTGAGTCAGAGTCTCACTCTGTCGCCCAGGCTGGAATGCAGTGGCACACTCACGGCCACCGCAGCCTTGACCTGCTGGGCTCAGGTGATCCTTCTGCTTCCGCCTTCCAAGTAGCTGGAACCACAGGTATGTGCCACCATGTCCGGCTAATTTTTTTGATTTATTGTAGAGATGGGGTTTTGCCAAAGTGCCCTGGCTGGTCTCAAATCCCCAGACTCATGCAATCCTCTCGCCTCAGCCTCCCAAAGTGCGGAGATTACAGGCTTGAGCCACCATGCCCAGCTATGAAAATTATTTCTAATAAAATGCTTGGAAATGTTTCTTCTTGAGAGAACTCGATACTGACATGCAATACGTGTGAGAGGTTTTGTTCCAAATTTTCTAGAGTGGAAACAGGCCTGGGTATCTTCCTGTTTGCTGAAGGCAAGGCCATCTGCACATCCTGTCTCCTCTTGGATGTTCATGGCAGGACCCGTGCCCGTCGGCTCCCCTGACCCTTCAGGGAGGCTTCTGCAATCACCATCCCACACTGTGGTGTCCAGGAAAGAACATTTCTGGTGAAAGCGGAAGACTCTTATACTTCAAGTCGCATGTTGGGAGCCAATTCCAGCCGCCCTTGCTTGTGTACCTAGAATGACTGTGTCTGTGGCCGATGAGGGAGTTAACATCCCAAACAGCATACAGGTATAACCTCGTGTGTGAACAGCTTTCTACATTTAAAGATACTGCACAATAAAATTGTGCTGAAACATCACGACTATGCTCTTGTCACACTATGCACAGGATACACAATGGGTGGGACTCCCTGGCTCCCCCGCCAGGAGGGAGACAGTGTCCTCCCAGCACCTGGCGGACACGTGACTGCAACCATCCTCATGCAAGGTTTTCAGTGACCTATGTTTTCATTTCTCTTGGATAAATGCCTATACATCAAATAGCTTGATTATAGGATTAAAGTTGATTACAGCTCTCCAAAGCGCACCATTTATACTTCCTTATTTTATGGTTCAATTCAGTGTATCAGCTGCTTCCCTCGGGAGACGAAAGGAGTTTTATTCTGATACCATGGAATCAGGGCCGGGTGCAGTGGCTCATGCCTTGAATCCCAAATCTCACTTTGGGAGGTAGGTGGAGGCGAGAGGATTGCCTGAGCCCAGGGGTTCTAAACCAGCCTGGGCAACTTCGCGAGACCTCGTCTCTACAATAAATCAAAAAATTAGCTGGGCTTGGTGGCATGTGCCTGTGGTTCTAGCCCGCTTGAAGGCTGAGGTGGAAGGATCGCCTGAGTCCAGCGGGTCGAGGTTGTGGTGCGCCGTGATCGTGCCACTGCACTCCAGCCTGGGTGACAGAGTGAGATACCAACTCAAAAAAAGGAGGAAAATCAAAGCTGGTTTTCCTGTAAAACCGTTTTTGGCGGTCTCTGGCACCTTTTAAGACACAGACTTGCTCTGCTCTCTCTGAAGTCTGCCCAACCCATAAAGCTTCATCTACATATTAAGATACTTGGCTCCCATATTGTATAGTCCTCCTCGGATGGATAACTGTAGCTAACAAATCCTCAGTCGGAAAATCTTTGAATCCACTTACAGCCTGCCGCCTTTGTGGACCCAACCAGTATACATCTCTCATGTACTGATATATGGTTTCCTGTAACTTCCATCCTCCTAAATTGTATAGAAACAAGCTACAATTCAACTGTGGTGAGCACAGGTTCTCAGGACCTGCTGGGGCAGGATACAGGGCCTAGATCACTCACATTTGACTCAGAATAAACCACCTTAAATATTTTACAAGTTGGGCATCTTTCGTCAGCATCCTCATCTTGCCTTGTTCCAACGGGTATTACTTCCCACCCTTGTCTCCGGAAAACAACACATTGCTTTGAGCTGACAACGGCTTTTTCAAAACCATGTGAACATAACAAGTCACTGACACCAACTGATAGGTGCACTTGGTCAAAATCCTATAAGAAAATGTCATACCTTACCTGAACGCTGCAGAAAGGTGTTCCAGTTGAAGGCGGCATTGGGTATTGTTGTAATTCCTGTGTCAAGAGAACCAGAAAAAGGGAAAACTCACTTTGTTGAGCTTGCGGAAATACAAGCAGTTATTTCGTGTTAGACTTTAAATAATGGTGATGCCTGGTCCTTCCAAAGCCATGCCAAGTTCTAGTGCTCTCTGGACATCCCATTGATCCACCAGGACAGAAGAATTCAAGGGAGCCCCCAGAGTCTACCTGAGAAAAGTTCCACCTCTTTCGGCAGATCCTTTACTGGACCAAGCTGCCTCTGAGCCATACGGCCCCTTGCATACCTTAAAAATGCCGGGAAATAACAGGTTTCTAAAACATCACCAACCAAACTCCGACAGCCCCATGGAAAAAGTGCACCTATGTTTGCAATTCTTAATCCTGACCCTTACCCAAATTATGCATGACTGTTTGCTGTCTGCCATTTCTTTAGGCAGATGGATCACAGTTAATTTTTTTTCTGAAGAAATGACCATTTTAAGATTTAGAAAATGAGAGGCAACATTGAACAGATTATCTTGGTAACAGAAAAATGCTGACATGTTCTAAGATGTAAAGTAAGTCATCTAAGCACTTCTGAAATCCACTCCGTGAGCATCACTCACACTGAGTAACCCCGGCAAGGCTACTTAACGAGTGACCACTCCGGCTGCCCAGGACTCTGGCCGCCCAGGGCTCTGAGTAGGCAGGGGCCTTCCACACACAGCTGGCAATCCTTGAAGACCTGCAGAGCAGCCAGGGTCCTCCGGATTACTCAGTTGGAAACTGAGTTTCCGAGAGGTTCAGTGGAGCACAAAGTGGCCCCGTGTGTGGGCAGCAGAAGCTGCACTAAAACCTACATGCTGCTTCTAAGCCCAGGTTTCTCCTGCTGCCCCAACTGAAAATGTCACCGAAGCCACCGCAGTCGCGACACCAGTGTGACACAAGGACGTGCCTCGGTGAGTGTGGCCCTCAGGCCTTATGCACCTTCAGGGTAAGCACCAAGAAAAGTCCCTCAGGAGGCAGAAGGCCAAGCTTCAGTCCTGGCCTCGGGACCCATCCCGCCTGAGCTTGGGGTCAGTTGCAAGTTCTTCCCTGAATCGACTTTCCGTCACTCCTACAGGGCAACCCAGTGGTTTTCAAAGTGTGTTCAGGTCTCAGAGGGCTTTTCTGAGTCAGATGGCAGCACAGGGGCAGGGCTGGGGAGGGAAGGAGCAGGGAGGAGGGAAATTTCCAGGCCCCCAACGCAAGTCAGCTGAAATAGAAGCCCGGCATTCTGTTGCGTTTTTTTTCAATTTACCTGGATGGAGTATATTATACTTCGACTGGTAGAAAATGTTAAATGAGGGCATTTTAGATTATTCTTTTATAGGTTCTCCTATTTATCTTTTGTTCCAATGTTAGAAAATAATAAAAGTATATCCATTCCACTGATTATTTTTAAATAAACCTCAGAAATCACCTTATCTCCTCCATAGACATCTCAGTGCGTCTCTAAAGGATAAGTACTCATTTTTAAAAATATACACATATGTTCTTTCTCTATCACTTTACTTTTAAAAAAATAAGTATATATTTGAAAATCCTTACCTTGACTCTGGACATAGATCTTACCCTTAGCATGCGGCTTTTAAAAGGAGGAGAGAAAGAAGAAAAAATAAATACATTTGATAGCCCATGATGTTGCTTTTTAGAAATAAAATGAAAGTTACTAAAACATCCTCTCGGAAAACATCGCGAGAACCATCTGCCCAGCTGCGCACAGACACATCACTCTCTCAGAGCAAAGCGTAACTCTGCTTAATGAGTTTTGTCTTTAAAAATACAGTGTCTATAAGGAAAGAAGCACAATGAAACAAGTCTCTTAAGTTAGGCTTAATGCAGTTTTAGAATTTTACAGTTTCTATGTTAGTAGAACGGTTATTGAATTCAGCCAGAGGACATGCCGGTAATAGAGACCATCTGATGTGTCTCCTGTCCTGAAATCAAGGTAGATATGGTGGGGGGCATGATGCAGGAACACACACCCTGGAGAGGAAAAGGGGATTCCCATTGAACCCAGAAAAGGAGGAGGAAGAGGAGGAGGAGAAGAGGGAGGGAGGGAGGGAGGGAGGAAGGAAGGGTGGGAGGGGGAGAGTTGCCAATATGTTGGGAAACAGAAACCAGGTACAAGTGGCAGATTCTTTCAGGCGTGGGAGGGTAGACTGATCCCTAGGACCTATAAGGACCTCCCCAGATGCCACCCTGACACCAAGGAAAAAGGTGGCCCTGGCATAATGGACTTGGATATTTGTACCAAATGATCAACTGACTACTCCTTGTGGTGTTTTCTGGGAGAACGTCATAAAATGACTGGAGAGAAAAAGAACCCGTTTCTCCAGTCACTGTGAAGAAGTGGCAGGACTATTTTCAAGACCAAGGTAGACATAGAAGACAAGAACCCCTCTTATAAATGCTGTTAAAACATGAATAGTCAAGTCAGTGCAAGGGCTATTTCCGTTGAGTGACCAAAACATCGTAAACAGTTGTTTGTTGAAAGAGTCCAGAAATGTGTGCCCTTTTGCACAAGACGTGAATTTGCTGATCCACGCAGGAAATGACTGAATTGACCAGATAACCGGAGGGCGCAGAAGCCACCCCCCATCCCCTCAGTGAGTAGGCTTGTAGGGCACTTGGGGCCAGGCCCTGTGAGCAGGGGATGGTGGTCCGCTTTGGACTTTGTCCCCAAGTCTGTTTTGTACTGTAGGAAAACCAGCATAAGGGGAAGCAACCCGGCCGAGGGAGAGACGGACAGTGGGAGGGAGACGTCCTGATGGCTTAGGAAGAGACGGCATTTACACAGAAGGCGGGACACACACGAGGCTCAGGCGGTTACAGTCTGGTCTGGTCATTAGTGTTGCATTTTGTGTTGACCAACGGATCAAAAAACCTCCATACAGTGGCAAGCATGCCACTCAAAAAGCCCTGACAACAGTAAGGCTTTAAAAACAGAGAAAGAGGCCAGGTGCAGTAGCTCACACCTATAACCCCGCACTTTGGGAGGCCAAGACAGGAGGATTACTTGAGGTCAAAAGTTTGAGACCAGACTGGGCAACATAGCAAGACCCCCATTTCTACAAAAAATAGAGACAGCAGAGTATGCTGTGGCTCAAACCTGTAATCCCAGCACTTTGCTTGAGACCACATGTTTGAGACCAACCTGGGCAACACGGTGAGACCTCGTCTCTACAGTAAATAAAAAAATTAGCTGGGTGTGGTGGCGCATGCCTGTGGTTTCAGCTACTTGGAAAGCTGCAGTGGAAGGATCACCTGAGTCCGGCAGGTCTACACTGGGGTGGCCTCAGCCTGCCAAGTAGCCAGAACTATAGAACATACTACCACGCCTGGCTAAATTTTTTTGATGTATTGTAGAGATGAGGTCTCGCCAAGTTGCCCACGCTGTTCTCGAACCCATAGGCTCAGACGATCCCCTCACCTCGGCCTCCCAAAATGCTGGGGTTACAGGCTTGAGCCACCATACTCGGCCAAAAAAAAAAAAAGATAAATATTTTAAAAATAATAATAAAATTTAAAAAGCAGGAAAGTTTCCAAAGTCTCTTCTCTGCTAATTAAAAAAGATGTTAACTTTAATAAGGAAAAAATGGCTGGCAGCAATAATTTGAAATTAGAAATTGAAGAGCAGAGTCCCCAAAATATTCTTTTTGTTGAATTTTAATTTCACTGGAAAGCTGAAAAAAATGTTATTGGAACACAGTGGAGAGGCTCAGAGTGCTTCTTCCCTAACCAACCCTAGATCTAAAACACTGGCTTGGAAAATGTCTTTCAAATGGGCAATAAAGTACTGCCAAAATGGGAGGATTGCTTGAGTCCAGGAGTTCAAGACTATTCTGGGCAACATAGCAAGACCTTATCACTGCAAAAAAAAAAAAAAAAATTAGCCAGGTGAGGTGGTGTGTACTTGTAGTCCCAATTATTTGGGATGCTGAGGTGGAAGGATTGCCTGAGCCCAGGAGGTCAAGGCTGCAGTGACTTCTGTCTTTATTACTGCACTCCAGCCTGGGTAACAGAGCGAGATCGGAACTCAAAAAGAAAAAATTAGCTGGGCTCGGTGGCTCAGCCTGTAATTCATGCTTTGGGAGGCTGAGGTGAGTGGATTGCCTGAGCCCGCGGGTTTGAGACCCGCCCAGGCAACTTGGCGAGACCTCATCTCTACAATAAATCAGAAAATTAGCCAGGCGTGGTAGCACACGCCAGTAGTTCCAGCTACTTGGAAGGCTGAGGTGGAAGGATCGCCGGAGCCCAGCAGGTCAAGGCTCCGGTGGCCGGGAGCGTGCCACTGCACTCCAGTCTGGGCGACAGAGTGAGACTCCGACTGAAAAAAAAAAAAAAAAAGAAAAAGAAAAATCCTTTTTTCACACACACACACACACACACACACACGAAAACCTTAATTAAACTGTATCTCAGCTCTCTAAGCAGAAGGAACTGACTCCATGTGGAAACTTCTGGGTCCATCTGCTGGCCTTTACAAATCTCTGAGCATTACTCCTCTACAATCTACTGGAAAAAAATTTCATCAATGGTATTTTAAGATCTTATCCAAGCAAATTGAGAAAATAGATTTACGGTAGAAAAGAAATCTAGCCCTGGATTATGTTTAGTTGTGGTAATAAAAGAAATCGGGGAAAAGCCAGTTGGCTTATATCGATTTTGAAAAACATTTTTGATATTAAAGTGTTACAAATACAAATTAGCTTTCTTTGCTCAATATTTATTATTGTTTCATTTTCCATGAACTAAGAGTCAAAGTCCCTGTGCATCGCCTGCCTTGACATGAGCTCATCAGTGCATAAAACAACAACCACTAAGGAGGTGAGAGGAGAGGGGAAGGAGCTCTGTCTCTAATGTCTGTGAGTAAGTGTTATCTCTTTGGCCCAAAACTGGATATAAAAAGCCAATGTCCTATTGGATAGACACCTATAAGTAAGTGTGACTTTGTGACAGACCCATGTGCCAATGGATACTTTTTAATGATAGAATAACAGACAATAACAACAATAACAAGAAAAAAAATGCTTCCCATTCTTTGATTACTACAACCTAGAAGCTGACCTTTCAAAATTAAACTTTCTTCCAATGGAAACCACAATAGATATTATTTTTAAAATATATGCAGAATTTTACACTCTACAGGTAACCAAAATAATAATAATTTTTATTTTGAAACTACAATACATGTTCTGATTGTGGTTTTGTTAAAAGCCCTTGTAAAATGATTACAAACTGCTTAAAAGAAACCATGGCCAGGGCATATGAAGTTCACAAAATATATCTATGCCACAAAACACATAGAATGTGGGCATTTTTCAGGGGTCATGGTGATTTTTTCCCTCCCTCTGCTCCCTTCCCCTTAGAAATCTGTTATCAAACAAAGGAAGAAAATGATATTCACAAGGAGGGTTGCTCAGCCTTGCCACTGAGCTGCAGTGGAACCAAACAAAGAAAAATGTTCAAGAAAAGAAAACAACTTGGGTGAGATGAGGAAGACATTTAAAAACTAGACTGGGATACTGTTCTATCTGATCCAATGTGGAATGGACAGCAAAGATGAAATTAAAACAATCCAGGGCTGGATGCAGTGGTTCATGCCTGTCATCCCAGCACTTTGGGAGGTAGATGAGAGGATTACTAGAGCCCAGGGATTCAAGACCAGCCTGGGCAACTTAGCGAGGCCTTGTCTCTACAACAAAAATCAGACAATTAGCCAGGCATGGTGTTGTGCACCTATGGTTTCAGTTACTTGGAAGGCTGAGCTGGAAGGATCGCCTGAGCCCAGCAGGTAGAGGCTGCAGTGGCCATGAACGTGCCACTGCACTCTTGCCTGAGTGAGACTCTGACTCAAAAACAAAAATCAAAAAAACCCCAGGATCCAAAGCTGAAGGAAGGATCCCAGTCCAGTGTGGCAACACAAGAAATGGGAATGCCCACAGGAAAATTCCAGCGAAGAGCTCTGTTTTTAAAAACGGTTAAATCCGCCGGGCTCGGTGGCTCAGCCTGTAATCCCGCGCCTTTGGGAGGCTGAGGTGAGTGGATTGCCTGAGCCCGCAGGTTCGAGACCTGCTTGGGCAGTGAGACCTCATCTCTACAATAAATCAAAAAATCAGCCGGACGTGGTAGTGCATGCCTGTAATTCCGGCTACTTGGAAGGCTGAGGCGGAAGGATCGCCGGAGCACAGCAGGTCGAGGTTGCGGTGGCCAGGAGCGGCCACTGCACTCCAGTCTGGGCGACCGAGTGAGACTCCAACTCAATCAATCAATCAATCAATCAATCAATCAATAAATAAATAAATAAATAATAAAACGGTTAAATCCACGGAGTGAACAATTCAGTTATTGCTGATTTGATTCAGAAGGTTCCCTGCCATTCTCTGCCTTAGCAAGTTAATGAATTAGACAAATACTTGGTGGTCATTCCACATGTTTGAACCTCAGGTCATGTAAAAGGGAAACCCAAGGTCTATACTCTGGAATTGGTGAGTTTTCCACCTGTTTAAGTTACTTTAAAATTTCTCAATTCCCAGGGATCTCGCGTGGAGGGGAAAAAAAGCCTAAAGAACATTTGCAATT